GCCCATTGTAATATGTGCGCGGCAATGAGTTGTGAGTGAATTTCGAAAGTAAACCAACCCCAGGAACTGGAAAATATATGAGTTCCTCACTTATTACGTCTAGAGCCCACATATTCCTGTGCTCTCGCCGGGGATAGTATGGGGAAATCACAAGGAAAGAGATGAAGACAGGTTTGGTGAAAATAATGCGGGAAATTTCATTGTCATGACGAGAAAACCTCATGATATAGACAACCCCAATTTGCATAGCTCCAAGTGTGTGCTCGCTGCGAGGAAAAGTTTTGTCATTTTCTCATTTAGACTTTTACTCCATCTGTTCCATAATCGCACAGAGGCGATGCTGTACCTTCGAAATTTCAAGATTCACCAAGACTTACAGATAATTGGATGTACTTGACTTAAGAATGTTGTGCAATTTCACGCAAAAATATACGAATTTCACGTACTCCCCCGGAAAAGGCTCGTTAGCTAGGAAGAACTTACTTTGTGATGGAATGAAAGCTCTCATATCATGTCAGGTTTCAATAAAGCTCCATCAAATCATGACTCGAAGCGAGACGGGGCCGTGCAAATTGGCTGGTGAATTTTTGCGGATTTGAAACACGAAAACCCTGAGTTGGGCTTGGCAAAGCTGAGAGCTTCCGCGCTATATAAGTTCACATACCAAGTTTCAAGTGCCTCGGAATTCGGCATAATGAGAGTCTTACGTAAGCTCTCTATTCTGTGGGAATCTGATAAGAGAATTTTGATGACTCCCCAAACTTGGAGCACGTACAAGAGGAAATGTTCACATATTGAGCTATTTGTGATTTTTTTCGGCATGACTTTCACTGGCTTGAGCATAATTGAACAAGAGAACGGGAAAGAAGTGAAATTTTTGATGTATCGCGAAGAAATTCCTCAAGCGGTAACTCCCAGTATAAAATTCTTGCTGAAATCGTTGGAAAAAAATATTGAACAATTTCATTCAAAGAGTAATTGGCATGAAAGTAAATAATATGCTGAAACATTATATAAATTTTAAACCTCGAACATAATTCAGAGAAGCTTCGGCACATCCAATAGCGAATGTGATATTTGTTGTTCATTCCAGAACGAAAGTTTCTCATCAATTCACAGGAATCTTCGTGTATGCTGGTCGCTATAAATGTGGGCTGCCGCGCCCCATATCATTGACTGTGATTGATTCTAATTAAATTTGGTAATGAGCAAATCCGGGCCCAAGAAACTGATGCACAAATTACATATTTTCCTGGAAAATCCCCTTATTAATTAAATGGAACGCCACTCTGTCGAGTGGTGAATATCCGTATTATTTGTATCTGCCACTGTGTGGCATTCCCACATTGTATACGTTCACTGATAATTCATCACCACTCACCACATGCTCGCCTGAAATGGAAACTCCCGTGGTGCTCAAAGAAGCTCACGCGCAGGTGAGATGTCTGTGGGTTTTCATCATTTCACGCTCTGAGATTTCCTTCGATCTTATTAGTGTGGATAAATTGGAATCAAAAGGCAGAAATCCAAGTGTCACTGTCTATTTACTCACTCATGGCGTGCCCGACTCTCCTGTTTCGGTGTCAGGGTAAGTTTGCTTTGGTTAACGCTACGCTGAATCACAGCTCAATACGTCAAGCCCATACACTATTAAGAATTCTATAACTCATAGAATGTGTGATATTTAATACACAGCCCAGGGAGCATAAAGGCAGGTGAAATTTGAGATGAGGAAAATGAAAATGGCGAAATGCGCTGTGCAAATGTTTGACACCACGAACAATTGTCAATTTTTGCTCGCGCAGAATACTATTTCTCACTGTGTATTTGGGGCGATTGTGTGGAGCGTGTGCTCACTGAGATTGAAATGACGCGGAAGGTTCACGTGACAAATTAGGTGAATTGGATGAGGTACGAAGGTGTCGAGTGTTTACCACTGAATTACATGGAGTTCGCCACAGATGAATTGCCTAAATAAACTTATTTGCACATTGTGGAAAAATCCATTGTAAATTTACACTCATTACTTTTACAATTTAAACAGACACACACAGCGTATTGTGTACCTTCTGCCAACAGGAAAATTATCCTTCTTGTTCACATAAATTATTATATCCAACCATCGCCATCAATCTACCCTTCTCGCTCTCTCACCTCCAGTTCATACACTCTGAGCACTCCTAATGGTGACTCTTATACAGTAAACGACGGGGCTTTTCTCACACTTTTCACCGCACAAAGCACTCCGAAAAAAGGTACGACTATAGCACGGTGTATTTCGTGAGCGGGGAAACTTTCTCATCTTCTATTCCTCATTTGTTGTTTCATCCCATTGTTCAGGGAAAAGACTCTCGCGCGCCAGGGAACTAGACAAGAAATACTAAGCTATGTCTTTACCCACCTCATCGATACAACATACATCTTCATATATATACGCACATGTACATATAGGGCGGAGGCACACAATGGTAACACACTAAGAATGAAGGGAGAGATTCTTTTGTATGATACATCAAAACTTTCTTCAAACTTAACTGCAAAGATCGCTGTCCTACACTCCTAACTATTTATAATGGTGTGTATGGGAGCTAAATATGAGCTCTCTGAACCATTCAACATCGTTTGGAATTCAGTACATGTATGGAGAAGGATTTTCAAACTTCCGCCACAAACTTTTCCACGTCCGTTCTCGATTCACTGAAAATGAGCGTAAATAAATACATGAGGAGCGCCAAGAGAGATTTTCACCCCCTGAAACTCAGTTTGGGAGGGTGAAAGTGCAAGGAAATATGACACACATGCCAATCTTCAGCCATCATGTATCGCAATTGTTGCTATTTGGCTAAGGCATTCGGGCTTACTTACTGCAAAATCTCATTGCAAGAAGATAAAACGGCGGAGAAATAGGTTGTTACGAGCAATTTCATGGTACAACTCAAAAACCTTACCCCCTTTTTGCAACCCTCTTTACACAATATAAATTTTAGCTCGGTTCGTCAGAAATTGCGCAATAAAAACGGTATTGTAATTAATTTTCTTCTGTAATTTCGAAAATTCCTTAAGACGAGGGAGCGAATCCGGTTCCTTCGCGTGAAGAAGCTAAATTTATTCAGTCCTGTTAATTATTTGCATTAAATATTGCCAAATAGTGGCGTACAATTTCCCACATAATTCTTTCTACACCATAAACAAGATTCTCTTGGCGAGAAAATGATGGTGCTGGAAAAGGTGAGAGTGGAAAATTCACGAGCTTTTATCAGCCATATAATATCATACATTCTCCCATATTTATGGTTAGAAGAACTGGTGTGTTTGTTTTGCGCTTGTACTTGCCACAATTAAATATTGAATGTGCTTTACGATTGTTGTATGAATGAGAGCACTTTAATGTTAATGTGGGTGCTCCAAATAGTTTTGTGGCATGTCACGGAGAGCGTTACAGTCCGACGATTCTGGAACCATTTATGCTTTTGTCCGAGTGGCGCGGCTGTCTTCTGCACAAATGCTGTTGGAATTGAAAGCAGACACCTGAATAGGGTGAAACTGGGCGAGCAAGCGAGATTCTCATCTCTCTTTTTTTCCATTATGAAACAATCATAAGCTAAAATATAATTCTAAGAAAATCTACTTGTATTAGCGGAAACTTCTGAATGCTAATGCGAAGCAATTTCGTTTTTCCAATTTGCCCAGTTGGATCCTTTGATCTCATTTGCGAATAAGGGGAGAACGCATAAGACGCAGAGAATTCCGTAGCAAGCGTAGAAGCTGGTAATCCACAAAGACATGAAAATTCTTGATTACTCACCAGTTGAGAGGAGATGAAAAACTCAATGTTTAGCAATGTCACCACGTGAGAAAAAAGGCAAATTATATTTTATGAAATAAAGAGTGTAACGCGTAAGAGTACAAGCACTATCTAATCACTTTTTCAAGGATCTGTTCAGCATTAAGAACAACGCTTGGTTCACTTTCGTATCGCAGGTCCTAGTGTAGAAAGCTTCGAATGAAAAATGGCTACAGGTGCACTTAGCATGGTCGTTAAATACGAGCGCAAAAAGGATGGCAAAAGTGCTGAATGTTGAATTCATCGCAACTTAAAGTCGATGTTTTCTTTAATTGTGCCCATCCATCTGTTATGTAAACCGCGAAGAATCGTGTTCTGAATGAAAACTCCCAGCTTAAAATACTGAACGTAAGATGATGAAAACTCGTCCAGTGAAGATGATCCACTCAAGAGTGGAATGCAAAACTTTTGATTCACTATGCGAATCGCATAAGATTTTCATCATCACTGTGTGGAATAGGTCAATTGATAAAGTTCTGATTGAAGTGTATATACTGTATCGCAATTTTCAAGTTAATTCTATAAAAGTTTCCACTTGTAGACGCTTTAAATTGCAATGTGTGAACATTATTTCACCTCAATTTGCCATGCATCTTTTATTAACCAGCCGTGAATGAGTTTTACACTCACTCCATGGACTCTGACCTGCTATTGATGCTTTAAATTAATTACCCATTCAAAACGAAAGCTCTCCGAGCACAGCGGGGACCTCATGAAAGTCCCCCACACGTGTAAAGTGAGAATTCAACGTAATTAAATATGCTCCTTTTGAATTTTAAATATGAATGTCTGGGTCGAGTCATAAGCTCTTCTCAAGTGAGAAACTCAGTAAAATTCTGTATAATTATGCGCATTTTCAGAGGTAATCTGCCATGGATGCCGGATGCTTACCCCAAAAATTGTCCCTCCGCCGTGGTTTTCCGTAATTTTCCAGTGGAGTGTGTGCATTAGGGTAATTTATTTGTGTACATGCGAGCAAATGGATACGCTTTTAATGATTCTATTGAACCGATTTTAATCAATATTCACCAGTTTGCCTGTTCTTCAATATCCATTGAAATATTCTAAACAATTGCACAGTAAAACAATTATGAATTTAATTAAATAACCTTCTGATGATTGATTACTCATAGAATCTCTCTGTTTTTCATTCCAGGATTAGTATGTGGCTGCCGCAGTTTAGGTGGATCTTGGTGCTGGTGATAAGCTTACGCTTAGTAGATGGAGTGCCAGGGACGAAGACGCTAGCCGGCAAGAGAGCCAAGACATCGGTTTCATCTCAGAGGCCCACGCGAACGCCCATCGTGCCGGATCTGTGCTCCAAGGCGCCGGACATGAAGGTCATTTGCCACTGCAGCAGCGATACTCGTCATCTGGTGACCAAGGCGGATTGCTGGGTCCTGGGATCCGACCTCTCGCGCAAGGACCCCATTTGGGCGGCCTTCTATGCACACACCTCCATCACAGATGTGAAATTCATTGCATTCGCTGCAGGCAATCTGACCTATGTGCCAAGTCGCGCCATCCGGATCCTGTCCATCCTGTCCAAGCTCAGTATCTCATTTACGCAGATCACAGAGATAGACGCCTATGCACTGTCCAACGCTACGCACTTGGCCAAGGTGGAGTTCACCAACAACACACAGCTGCGAACGCTGAGGAGGTTCGCCATTGCCAACCACCCCGTCCTGTTTGATGTCAATTTAGAAGCCAACCAAATTAGCCTGATCGAGGCGCAGGCCCTCGCGAATCTGCCTCATCTGGAAGTAGTGCGATTGGGCTACAACAACATCACTCTCCTGCCCGATGATGTGTTTGACACACTGGGAAAACTCCAAGAACTCCACGTGCAGCATAATCAAATTGCTCAATTGTCTCGGGAGGTCTTCAAGGGCCTGGGAAGTCTCCTCAAACTCGATCTCTCGGCTAACAATCTCACCTTTATAGGAAACACCGTTTTCGCTGAGTTGTGGAGTCTTCAGGAGCTCTCAATGCAAAACAACAAAATTCAGGTAAAGCCCCATTTCTCTAAACGTTCATAAACACCCTTTTCATCGAAAGATGAATGATAGATTCTCTACAAATCGTGTAAATTGCCAAGACAATTGTGAATCTATCCTTTGAGAGTGAATTTGCAGGAAATCATGCACACTACATATTCCATCTCTATTGCATTTTCCCGTGGTGGGCAATTTGCTGTGGTGAAGAAAGAGGATTCTGGGTGGGGAAGGCAAAAAGTTTGACTGTGCTTCGCTCTCAGAGTTCCTCACATTTGCAATGCAGTGACAATTTCGCCTCATGTTGATGGTGTCAAAAGACAGTCGTGCAATTTGCATGCAGTATCATACTTACACTTTCGGATTTGTCTGTGTTTGCAGCAAATATCCGAGAGAGCTTTCGATGGCCTGAACAATCTGCATACACTGCAGCTGCAGCACAATCGTCTGATCGCACTTCACAATGGCATATTCACCGTCGTACCTGCCCTGAATTCCTTGAATTTGCTAGATAATCAACTTGAGACACTCTCTTTTGAGAATCTCCATCCAATCTTTGACAACCTCCTGCGACTCAACAGTGAGCTGAACATCGATGGTGAGTCTTGATCTGATTTCATATGTGATAATTGTGATCCATATCTTCGACAGCATGGTCCTTATTTCCCAGAATTCCTCTATGTGTTCCCATCATTCCTCTGTCTTCACATGCCGAGAAGCTGCAAACTCAATAAGTCGAGAAAAAGTTTCAATTGAATTTGAAAAGAAACTTGGGTGACATAACTCTTTCAGCAAAGGCGCCACTCTCTTCTGCTAGATATCTCCTCTCGAGGGACTTTTCTCCATTTGTAAGGCAATTTTTCCGCACTTTTTCATTAGCCATATCAAAGTCAAACACATTCCCCGTGACTCCTCACTAGGGAAACCTTTATGGTCTAACAGAGAGGTGAGAAAAGAGGAAATGACGTTCTTCGTGGAAAATTTTCAATTTGAACCAAGAGTGAAACTCGTTTCACCCACATTATGCACTCAACGAATTTGCGGTGAGCTTTCAGCCGTGCAAAAGCTTTGAACCATAACTCTCTTCACTCAGGCACTTTAATGTGGCAAAATTGATGGCATATAGCAGTATGAGGTCACTGTTGGCCAGAAGAATGGGCCAAAGGTTACCAGCAGTGAAAGGAAATTGTCAAGTGAAAAATTGTGTGTCTTCGTCCTGTCATTCGGGATCTCCTTTGACTTGGCAAAAATTGTTAGTGCTACACGTGTGTGTATTCTAACTTGATTGTAAAAACTCTTTATCAGTCTCGTGAAAAGGCTCACTGTTACCCTTCCTTCTCGGTGAACAAAGAGTGGTTTAAGCAGCCAAAGCGTATGATAGGTAGAGCGGACGAGAGATTTGTTCTGCCCACTAATGGATGGCTCTACTGGGAAAATTGTGTACAGAAGAGAATTTTTATGGTGACTTGCGGCAATGTTTGGTGAATCGTCAACGTGTAGAAGAGCACGTTCCTCGTGTATTTCGCGAGCAAATGTTATTTGAAGCCCCTTTCCCACCAGAAATACCAGAAATCACCGCCCATGGCCACCCCTCGCACACGACACTATATAAATTTCGCCATATTCGAGCTTTCAGCCACGGCTCTCCATATATACGTACTCTGTACCAGAATATCCCAATAGCTGAATAACATTTCACATGGTAAATGTAATATTTGTAAGAAGAGCAAATCAAGCGTATAGCATGGAAAATTCTCTGTTTCTCCTTTATTTTTTTCCGCCCTCGCCAGGTTTTTTCTGCAAAAAATTACCCCTCACGCCCGCCCAACTCGCACACTGAGTTGGAATATGTATATGCAAAGATCCCTAAATGGCAATGGAGAAATATATTCATACCGCCAAATGCTGGAAAACACGAAGGCGGGGGCGAACAAGTTGGCTTGTTTGGGGTTGTCGAACTGAAAGTGTTCCAAATATCAACTCAAAGGGTGGGAAAAGATCGAATTTCAAAGTTTTCACTACTTGTTTGTGATGTAGATTTCTCAATTGATAGTTTCGTCTTTGAATTTCCCATATGATCATGTATATTGGTGGGTACAAAAAACGCTACATGTAGAATAAAAAATACATTCATTGCATATTTCTGCACTACGTTTTGCATAATACACACTAAACACTTGTTGGCACATGAGGCGAGCTTAAAAGCTTTTACACTCGACAGTACATAAAGCCGCAAAAATACTGATGCAGAAGCACACTCTTGCGAAGGAAACCGGATTTTCCAATATCATAATGAAAAGGTTTTTTTCTTTATGTCTTTTCCTTCCTCCAATTCTGCTTTTTGTCATTCAGCACCTCCATCTTCGAGCGCTCCCTCCCCATGTTTTCGCAATACTTCTTGAGTCAATAAGGGAAGTTCTGTGTGGGGAATAAAATTTCACATATTGAAGTGCGATAGGGGATGAGTTGGAAAAATATCACTCACCATTTTCAATAAGAGAGCACGATTTTTTTCCGGGTAAGAGGATTCAGTCAGGACTGGCTGAATGATAGAGTGTGAGAAAATCAGAGCTAATTATTTTAATCGACAGTTATCGTGGAGTGAGTGAGGAAAATACAATGTTTTTTTTAGACTAAAGTTCAATATGATACCATCATAAATAGACTACAAATACATTTTTTTTTCCAGGGGATTGTCAAAAGTAATAAATTAATCGATTATTGAAGTGCTTGACAACATATCAACTCAAACAGATTGTCAATTCAATGGGATTCTGTAGCATTGCTGACTCTGACACAGCGGCATATGGCGAGGAAAAAATCAATCCCTCTCTGGAGGGGTTTTTCACGAATGCATCAACCAGAGAGACTCAAGGGGTAAATTTTGGCCCAGATTTTCCGCATCAAAAACTTTTCCATTCAACTTTAATGGTCTTATTACTCAGGAGAATAACCTGATCAAATCCATATTTTACACCTTTTGTGAGGCATCACATCTCACGAGAGTGTTGTCTTCAGCTTTTCTCTTTTGCCAGACATTAGCGGGGATTTCACAGTTTACTCTCGATTGGCATGAAAATTTGATTTCATGGGACTTTCGTGTAAAAGGTTTTCAAGCTATGAATTTAAAATGTGACTTTCTATATTTCAAACAAACACCCAATCAGTCGTCTGTGAGCTGTTTTTCCGAGGCGTAATCTAATTAGAGAGGAAAAGCCATATTCATCAGCATTAAAATTTATCACTTGAGAGGGTGTATCTTTTACATTAGCCCCTTGAATTGTTTTCACACATCCACTTACGTTAGTCGCCACCCCTTTGATGGGCTGATTATTAGAGGCGGTGGGAGGGAGAGATATTTGATTGATGAGTGTGGAACGTGTCTATGGCAAAGTACTCTCATGATACCTCTAATGTTTCTCTGCAATTTTCACCTTTCCTCCATTTACCCTCTCATGAGAGAGCGCATGTGAAATCTGAGTTTCCACCCACTCCAGAGCGAGGAATCTCCATAGCTCCCACATTTTGTAATTCACCCAAAATAATAATACATCGCTCGGTGTGGCTTTTGTGAGGAGATTTAGAAATTCTCTCCGGAAGAATGAGTTGGGGTGTCGTACATTGTATTTGTTTTTTCCTCCCCCGCAACCCCGGAACAGCCCTTTTTGTTTCTTGGAAAGCACATCCACTCTCTTTTCAATTTCGTGGATTCGGCAGGAAAAAAGAGTAGGAAATTCCTTATAAGCGATCTCGCCGGGGATTTGAGTTGGATGCTGTGCGCTCTGTTACTCGAATGAGAGCGACGGGCGTATTATTACCTGCCGACAAGAGGAAACCATGCGTGATGCACAAGAGATAGGCATATTGCTTCAAAAGCGCGCCTGTTTGTGGCTTGAGGGTGAATTTTCTCCATGTGAATGAGGATGGCACGATTGCATTTTCGACGGCGGTTTTTTTCAAAACTTTTTCCCTCCCTCATCCACACAAAATACTTTTCCACCCTCGAGACTTGCTTTTTTTCCTTGGGTAGAAAAAAAAACTTTTATCCACCTTTCATCTCGCCCACCCGCACTCACACCCGGGACCTCTTCACCCCCATCGGCCGGAGGAAATATCTCGAGTTACATGCGTTTAATATTTTATTAGAAAGGTACATTGGTGCGCTTCCGAGCATATGCCACGTGGATTCCATCGCCTGGAGCTGAGAGGGTGAGCCAGCGGGGTGTCCCGGGGTGAGATCCTTCTGAAAGGAGAGTAACACGGGTAGATTGAAATTCACCCTCCTGTCATCCACTTTAACCTCTCAAAATTTCCACTCTCCTCCTGCAACGTCGAATCGAAGGCGTGAGACGCGGGCTCAAAGGTGAAAATTTGCAGTTAAATTCCCTTCCCCGATCCAACATTCACCAAATCGCCAGCGACTTCCCCAGAATCTACATAAGCGCATGAATATTTCCTTCTCTTTGAACTTGTCTCATTGCAGAGAACAAATTCATATGCGACTGTCGTCTGGCGTGGATGTTTGATCTGAGGAATAACACAAACAACACGAAGCTGCGACTGTCGCTGCGTGACCTGGAATGCACGTTGGACCCGTCGAGAACATCAATTCAGGTGGTTTCGCGTGGGAAGGCCAAAGACGAGTACTACACAGAGGAGGAAGACACTGTGGAGGCCAACGAGGTGGTGATACCCAAGAGTCATATTGACGATCAGGGACCGCGCGCTGTGCGTCTGCTGAGCCTGAGGAAGAATCAACTGCCGTGCCATCAGGAGCTGCAGTTTCCCACGGAATTGCCCAAACCGCAAGAGTCGATTAAAGTGATCCCGAACGACGAGTTGCAGCAGACAACGTCGAACGCAACAGAAGCACCAGAATTGGCCGCCGGCCTTGCCATCATCATTGTGTCAATCCACATTGTCATGCCACCTCTAATACCATCCGTCATCAATTAACACCCAACATGTCCGTGACCCAGTCGGACGGAGTGAATGTGTGGCAAATCGGATTTAGCGCAGCATTATTATAATCAGTGAATTATATCAAAATGGGGAGAAGTTTCGAGCTCTACTGAGCCATCTAAGTGTCTATCCCTCTCATGACCATTTCCATAAGTCTTTCGCAACCCCTCAAAACCCGAGCCCCAATAGTTGTATGTATGTTCAGACGCAGTGGCGAATGGCGATGATGTTTTCCATCACAGCGCCAGAGTGTTGGTTCATTCCGAGGCATCATCCAATTTACCGCGTTCCCGATTGTCGTTCGAGAATGTGAGGGTGGGTGGGATGTTTAAATATCAATTCGATTTGTTGTTGAATGGCTATGGATGTGATTTCTGGCCGGGATGGTCCCCAAAGTGGTTGTTTACTGACAAACTCCCTATTGCTGTTGCAACATCAACAAATCTTCATACCCAAAGTGTGTCTCCAGTACCGAAGAAAACCCTCGTCTAATGATGCAAAATCCATGAACTTTAGGATTAATCATACAATGCAGTTGTATTCACTCCCTGAGTACTCTTGTGTGGCATCAATTTGGTGAAAAAAAAAATGAATTGACAAAAAGCTCCGCAACATGGTTTCCCAGCCATCAATAACGGAATTCGATGCACAAGAGTACAGGAAATAAATTATAAATTGATGAGAAAAAAAATAAAAAAATAAATGTGAGTGTACCTATAATCAGTATTAATTATTAAGGAAGATAAAAATTGAAATTAAATATTTGTGATTTTAAATTTATAAATAAAAGTAGTAATTATAGTTAAAATATGTAACAGATAAGAGTATACAACATGATCTAAAACCTACCTTGCTTTTTCTCACCCCTTCACATACATATGTATACACAGACGCAGCGAGAAGAAGGAAAAATAAGAAGACCCTTCTGGACGAGGTTAAGCCCTCTTCCGAGGGGTATAATGTGGTGAATTTATGGGACAGCAGAATAAATCGGAGCTTGAAATTGAAATCGATATTCGGCCAGTAAATTATGGGCGAGGGGCATTCAACTTACCAAACTCCTGGCAACACATTCAGAGACACGCCATTTCGGTTCTTGCCGCTCCATCATATTGAATACTCTGCAGAAGGTAAATTATTTAAAATGTGTACTCGTGTCTGTCTCACTCCGCCCCAACCCAGCCGACATTGCCGTATAATGAGGAATGGTGTCATCAAAAATACATCAGAGGCAACTCCAGTGTCCGTTCGGTGAGTAAATTACTCCATCGTGATGGAAAAATGATCAGAGGAGGTGAGACAATTGCACAGAGGTATAAATTTAACTTGGTGCTTCGTGTGTTTATCATTAAGAATTTATAGGGTCGGAATCGCTGCCAAAATCCCACTTAATTCGTCCATGTTCCATCGTGTTGTCTGGCGACTGCAATGGATGCTGAAATGTTGCTTAATGGGTCGAAATCTCCTACTCGAAAGCACGTCAAATCTAATCTGTGCTGCTCCCTTAATGTAAAAATCAATGCAAATATAGCAAAATTAATGTAATAATATGATTCTGTATCGAGTGAATATGCATATTGAATATGCCTGTAGTGTTAAATCACCTCACGTCGGACAGATAATAGCACTTTGTACGCGGTCGTTGTCTGATGGGAAAAGTCTACATTGTGTAATTCTATCAACTCTGTACGCGACACTGGTCGCTAATGGTCCACCCCTAAATCTCTGCAGCTTCAGAGTGGAAGAGAAACTTCCTCGATGGAAATACTGCAGAGATTTTTTGTCGTCCTATGGCGGCTTTTAGTCTGCCTCTGATTTCGTCCATCCACTTTCCGCCCGATCGTGTTTAGCTTTCCCAGCATGTCCCTTCCAGGAAAATGAGCCCGTGCAAACTTCCGTAATTATTTTTTTCGCGTCTCGCTGTGGTGCCTTGAGTTGCGGCGGTACAATTCACTATCAGCCATGGCGGATTAGTGGCGAGAGCCGCACATAGGAGAAAAAATGTCACATATTGAGGGCTGCAGCGCAAAGACAGGCACACAGTGTGCTCACAGAGGGGGTGGCAGGGCGTCAACCCCCGGCCTGTAAGCACAGTGTCGCGTGCTACAAGCTAATCAAGCTAATGCATGACACATCGATTTAATTTATAGACTGTTGCGTTAACATACCGCCAACTTTAGTGTACTCTGTCGCCGTCGATTGGCCTAAATGTGAGGGATGAGTTGGGGCGGTGGAGTCCGTCTCCGATACGAATTCTCCCCACACCGAAACATACAACCTGTTACGGAGATGCATGTTTTCCTCCTGCTGGACTTTCCTCGGTGTAATTTATCGCGGTGAAAAACAATTTATTTATTAAATTATTCATTCGAAAATTGTGCAAAACGCTCAGACAAAAAAGTCATCCACCCTGTCAGGTATGGTTAAAAGAGTAGAAGCTTTCGTGTGGAAATTATAGGACACTGGTGTTATGTAATAAAAGCTCTGTGGAATGAAGTTCTCCGGCAGAAATCGTGGCTCACGCTAAAACCTATGCCGCGTGAGCAATAAAAATTTTATAATTGATCCTAAATTATCCCCTGAATTTCTCACAATTCATACACCGCGTATGATTCGAACTCACGCATTCATCCGAGAGCTTTTCCATGTAATTGCCAGAGTGTCCACTCGTGAATTAAGTGTAATGATACGGGGGTTAATTTCAGATGGGGTGCACCAATGCGAATGAACTCAGCTTTTCAATGGACAAGAGAGGAGGGTGAATTCCGTAAAGAACTTTGCATGATCAGAGAACATTTCTCACAGCATTTGGGAGTATGGTATTTCTGAGGAAAAGCCATTACGCAGATAAATATCCGAAATAATTGCTGCTCATAAGTCACAGCAACAATCAACTGAGAATAGGAATTATTGTTGAGAAGTGAGGGCTAGAGTTCATAAATATTGACCAACCAATCCATTTCGGAAGAGAAATCCATATATTTTCCTTTTAAATAACAGATTTTTATTTATCCGCACCACAATAAATTGTCCACTAATGATTATTGCATCAAAATGAAATTGGAACCGTATTTGGCTACGCTATGGTCTTCAACTTTATCGTTTAACCTTTTTTTCCAAGTACAATAGCGAGGGTTGCTACATGAGATTTAAGGGGAAGAATTCTGATTTGCATTTCTGTCTGGTATGATTTTAGGGAAAAAAGTGACCACAGCTATTCTGAGCTCTGCTCCGGGGCATAATTCTGCCAGAGATGTACAGAAACTGATGATTATGTGCCCTCCTCATAATCCTTTCAGTTTGTCAGCACCAGATCTGGACTGCGAAGTGAACAGAGACGCCCAAGGCTGTCGGCAGGAGACTGAGGAACAACAGCCAATACAGTGAAGGAGAATGAAAGGAAAAATTTAATTAAATTCCTCCACGTACGATAGAGCACATGCAGATACGCAATTATCGAGCCTACGGTAGAAAGCACAAAATTAATCAATCGATAAGTGTTCTATTTAATTAATTATTTCTACACCATTCGCAGGTGAATTGTGTGGCAATTTTTACTCACAGATAAATTAGTCTCTGGAGTGGGAGAGCGCCATAATCATTGATAGAGACCGTAGAGACACTTGAAAGTTAAGTATGGGCACAATTTGTAAGTACAGGCGATATTTTTCCCGCAACTTTAGTATTGTTCGCAGATAAATTTATGTTAAATTACAGATAATCCTTGTTGGAATTAAAAGCTTATCCACTGTATCTCTCAAAATTAGTGGAACTTCTGCAATACATATTTTTTAAAAGTTCCTCGCAACCCTCAATTAATCACCGAGTACTTTTGGCAAAAGTGTTCAAAAATAGCTTCTGCCCAAAAACTCAAAAGGGTTGAAAATTAAAGTCATTGTGGGATATTCCGTTGGGAAATGAGAAAATGGACCGTCCATTAATGTGTGGCACCTCAGGAATTCACCAAAACTGTAATCCCTCTGTGTAAATAAATCTATGGAACTTGCATAAGGAGAGTCACTCGTTTATTTTCACACATTTCCATGATATTACAATATACTAACATCAATGCAAGAAAATTTGGGACTCGGGAGAGACTAAAATTGACGCAAACCACGCCCGTTCCATTGCTCCTCCCACTCGAGAGTTGTCCTCAATCTCAAGGCTTAAAACAGTTTGGCATGATTTTGACTCATGAATATTGGGCGTATTTGAGAATATTATGATTGCCGAGCTGACTTAAGAGGTCGAATTTTATTGGCTTGCCAACGGGCTTCCTCAAATTGCATTGCCAAAATTTTTCTTCAAAATCAATCCTCATGTTCGCATTTTTGACGAGCATAATAAAAGTATTATGGGTGGAAATTTTTACACACACACACCCACATCACGACTTGAGTCCACGGCCATGCGAGAGGAAGCGGTGAATTCAGTGTAACACGATAAGACGGAGGTGATGACCCCATTTTAATGACACTTTCCACTTCACTCCACGGATAAATTCAACCATTTTATATGCGGGGGATCATTTTGTTGAAAACATGAAACTTACCCTTTGCCGGGTGGCCGGAGAGAAAAATATCACATATGTCCATCAGGAAGGGCGATTCGAGTCGTGCCGCAGGAAAACTGCCAGACAATCTAATCATCCTCGGAGGCATGCAAATGTGCCCATTTTCCGGGGTTTCCCATTAAACATTTCACCCTGACGTCTTTTCACACTTCACCCCGTTCCTCCCCATCAACCTCACACCATCGCTTTCGCCCGATCTCCAGGAATTCCCTCCTTTTTTCCATCCACCGCCACTCCTGGCATTACATGAACATCAAAATGCGGCAATATTCGGTTTTGATGCGCCATAAAATAGAAAATTATACATTTGCGTCTCTATCTTCGCTCACACTCACATCACCCACACTATAAAAAGTTGGAATAGGGCTATAAAATTGCCAGAAAACATATTCGCTTTAATTGCTCCTTTCTCTACATTCATCACATCACACAGAACATGCGACAATTCCGCTCTACTTTCAATACTACAACCCATGATGAGCGCCACACACTCTTCAATTTCGTCATGATGATTAAATTACTTGTCCAGCCACCTTTGAGTCATGTCACGTAGAAAATTAAAGATAGACGTCACGTTTTTCATTTTTTAGGGTTAGACCAAAATAGTTTCTTCCTCAACATTTGCACCATACATATATTCAAGGCCGAAGCTCGTGAGATTCCAGGGCAAACATTGGGAAAAATCGAAATATTATTACACAAGTCCAAAATAGCAAATATGACTTTCCCAATCGGTTGCGATCGATTGAAGTGTCGCGCGCTACAAGTAATAAATTTCAATTCTCCTCGTGCGAATCTTTACAGTATCATAACACCCACTTCTCTTGTTCAACAACTGTATCTCGCCTGTGAAATCATCCCCCGGGGCCGCTTCCATGCGCCGCCCCCCTCAGCCCGACGAAAAAGGCGTCAGAGCAGACATTACCGAATCCGCCCTCATGGGAGAGAGTCAAGATATGTATAGCACAAGAAGGGCACAGAGAGAAAAAAACAATAAATTCTGACCCTGTCGATTCCGCACGATTTGTGAATTTTTGTTATTTAATTTTATTGTGACTAGCTTGCAAATTATAATCTTCGGGAGAATCATATTTCACTGTATCTCCGTTTATCCTTGATTGTCTTGGGACTGTACATACTTTACACAATCCACTCAAATGAAAAATTAATAGAAAAGGTTACTTTTCTCAACAAACAGGCAAATACTTATGACACACTTGGCGTATTTCCAGCTGAATTGTCAACTGAAATATTCTGACAGTGTGCCCACTTTCCAGGAATTTCTCCAGCTTAAAAGACATGTCCAATAAATCACTCGGACTAGCAAACTCTCTCGGTTGAGGTGGAAAAAAGCTCCGCTTGAAAACGTTTCAATTATTTGATAGAGTGAAAGGAGGATGAGTAAACAGTGGGTATAAAAGTGAAGACACATTATGGATTCAATGGTGAAGAGGCGACAGAGTAATTAATATGAGGTTTTTCACCTTTCACCCACTTTATAGTATTC